GCTTTTCCCATGCTGGAATGCTGTGGTACTACAGGTCAGTGCAGCCTCCACCTCCTGAGTTAAAGTGATCCTCCCACCTTAGCCTCCCAAGGAGCTGGGACTACAGGCATGCACCACTACACCCAGCTAATTTTTTCTCATATTTTTTAGAGATGGGGGTCTTCGTATGTTGCTCAGGCTGGTTTTGAACTCCTGGGCTCAAGCGATTCTTCCATCTTAGCCTCCCAAAGTGCTACTAGGATTACAGGTGCAAGCCACCGTGCCTGGCTAAGTTTATTTTGATACTTGTCTTTGATTGCTATAGTGGTTAAACACAGGATAACTAAAAAATAAATAAAAGAAGGGCATCACTGGCTATAACTAAAACAAAATATTTATTATTTAGTACCATTCAATTTTTCAAACTTTTTTTGAAGTTCATCTTTATTTTAATCAGTTGTTCTTGTGAACCAAGAGGGTTACTTTTCAACATTTTTTAACAACAACAAAACCTCTGTTGAAACCTTTTATTTACGAATTTTTGAGTCAGTTAGAAAATTTTCTTTTCATGCTTTTAAGTATGCAGATATGAGAACTATACTCATACACTGTTTTTGGTAATGAAAGCACATCATAACTGAATTGCTGCCATTTCAATAATGCTCTGAAAAACAGTTACTTTCTCATTTATTGTTAAACTCTTACCTTTATTCTGAAAGTACAAATTAAGTCTATTTATTTAAAAAATATAATGTTAGGTTGGGTGTGGTGGCTCACGCCTGTAATCCCAGCATTTTGGGAAGCCAAGGTGGGTGAATCATGAGGTCAGGAGATTGAGATCATCCTGGCCAACAAGGTGAAACCCCGTCTCTACTAAAAATACAAAAAGTAGCTGGGTGTGGTGGCGCGTGCCTGTAGTCCCAGCTACTCAGGAGGCTGAGGCAGGAGAATCACTTGAACCTGGGAGGCAGAGGTTGCAGTGAGCCGAGATCATGCCACTACACTCCAGCCTGGGTGACAGAGTGAGACTCTCTCTCAAAAAAAAAAAAAAAAGAAAAAAATCATATTAATGGCAATATATTCTCATTGTAAAAGTGGTAAGCAAATTTTGAACATTTATTTGTATAAGAAAAATACATAACTCATCTTTAAATATGAAATTTCTTTTTAAGTTCTTTGCTGTGAGATAATCAACAGATCTCTGAGTAATTATATAAGATTTTCATGGCAATTTTTCTTTACTTCATTAAGAGATTATTTTAAAATATTGTAAAGATTTGACTATAAAGATTTTGTTTTAATAAAATGAATCCCATCAATAGAGGGTTCATCTGGCATCACTATTTTTTCTTTCTTTCTGTTGTTGTATAATGCTTTTTTTAAAAAAATTATTTTTGTTTTATGTTCCAGGGTACATGTACAGGTTTGTTACATAGGTAAACATGTGCCATGGTGGTTTGCTGCACCTGTCAACCCATCACCTAGGTATTAAGCCCCTCATACATTAGCTCTTTTTCCTAATGCTCTTTCTCCCCTCTCCCGCCACCCCGGTCCCACCCCTGACAGGCCCCGGTGTGTCTTGTTCCTCTCCTGTGTCCATGTGTTCTCACTGTTCAGCTCCCACTTAATGAGAACATTAATCACTGCTTTTTCATGCATGTCTTGCCTGTAATGATGTGGGAATAAATTTCACTGTGGTGCTAAATTTGTCACTGTACCCTAGGATCTCTCTTTTCTCTTTTCTCGTTAGTGTTTATACTCAGTATTTACTTAACACAGTGTTTTTTTTTTTTTTAATTTTTTATTGGATTTTAGGTTTTGGGGTAACACAGTGTTTTAATAGACAGCGATGAGAATATATGCCTTCATTTTATTGCTCACAGAAAAAGTTGCTCTTCAAGTATTGTATTATTGACACAGAGTCTAACAAATATAAAGAACAGATACTTGTTAGAAACATTTATAATTTGATCCAGCTATTTAGCAAATTTTGTACTAAGTATTTCTTCAAATATTGAGCTCTGTTTCTCCTCCTCCTTTCTAATACATTTTAGTTACTGTTTTAGGTTGAGTTCCCAAAGAAGCAGATCCTCAGGCACAGGTTCACGTGTAAGGATTAATGCTGGATTTGCAAGGAAGGGATCTAAGAAAGGGATGGCGGCAGTGAGGAAAGGCAGGGAATGAAGCAACCACAGGGAACATTCTCAAGCAGCTTTCTGCTGTGGGCAGCTGGAGCTCGCTCCCCAGGGGGAGCTCTGGAGCCTGCAGAATTTTTCTGAGTTGTTAAACACAGAACACAATACATTCTCCAGCTCTTGTTTGTCATTGGCTAGAGATCAATAACCAAGCACTTCTGGCTTACTCATTTGCCGCCCTAGAGAGAGCCCTCAGCTGGAGGGACAAAAGGAATGTGGGCAGGGCCACTGTATCCCGTGAGACGGTCCCCACACAGCCCTGAGGGTGTTGTTGACCATGCTTCCTAAGGCAGAAAGAACAAGTATTTTTCACTTTTACTTTTGAGTAAAAACTCTGCAAAAAAGACTTTTTAATCTTTATCAAATTTAGTAAATTTTTGTAAGGTCTTCATAGCCTAGATATAAATCTATATTTTAAATAGGCTTCTTCATATATGCATATATCTATATACACATACATATACACATATTTGTAGTCGATGAATTGTTAGTATTTTTATCCGGCAAAGATATTATACAAGGAATAGAAGAATCCATTTTGTCTTTTTCTCAGTTTCTCTTGTGCTAACTCTATTAGAATTATCTTCAGTGTGGTGTTTCTTGGAAGAGATCTTTTAACTTTTTATGAGAGTTATTTGCTTAAAACTAGGTAATATTCATAAATCTATTTAACTGTACACCATAAAATGAAACATGTTACAATAATAAAGAAAAAAGAATGACGAGGTGGTGGTCCAACCCTTCACATTGTGAATTCCATTTTTCCTGCAGGATGCTCTGCTCACTGTATATGACAAGTGACAGTTTGATATTCAGACCTATTGAGTATCAATTGAAATGAAATATTAGTGAAGCTTAACATTTTCCTAATTCTTGGAGTAAAAATAAAATAAAATTGAAGTTCCCATGTTTTACCTCAGTGGATCATCTTGTGCATCCCCCGTGGTGTGTGCACCCCAGTTTGGAGACCACAGATGCCCTAGTGTGGCACACACTGTCCTCCACTGCTTACGCCTCCAACCTCAGTTCTTGCCTGGTCATGCATCATACCTTGCGTTTTGGTCAAAATGAACTTTTTGAACTTGAATTTATCATGTTGAATCGTATGGCAGAGCCTTCACTTACAATTGCTTCTGCCTGGAATACTCTCTTTGGACTGTCTGGTAACACCCGGTCTATGAAACTTTTGCTGGTCTTTTCCCACGCCCCAGGGAGAATGAAAAACATCCTCTTTGAAACACTACAATACTTTCCTCCTTAGCCCTTTATGATTTTGTTGAACATACTTGCTAACCTTCTTGGTTTTTCTTATAGATCTTCATCTCCTTGAAATCAACAATGTTGTCTAACTTATCTTCAAATCTCTGGCACATAGCCTTAAACAGGAACACAGTCATGCTGTTGAATTAACTATGGAGGTGGCATTGCATTGGTCAGCCAGAGTAGAGGACTGTTTAGCTCTGTGAGCCTCTTGATGAAGGATTTGGAAAACTGATGTATACCCAGAACGAAAGAATTGCAAACAATCCCTGAGGAATTCTAGCCTGGGACCAAAGTATAGAATAGCAGAGAAGAGGGATTTGGTTCTAATATAAGGAAGAATTATTTAACAATTAGAGCTGCTTGAACAAGGGATGAATGGCTTTGGAGTATGGTGAGTTTCTCACCACTGAAGATGTTGAAATAGCCTGAATGGGTAACCTCCTTAAGCAGGCTGAACAAGGGCTTAAAGCATCTGGAGTGATTATGGTGAGTGAAGGAGAATTTAGATAATCTTTGGACTGTACAACAATCTAGCTGAGATTTGAACTCCTTTGCTATGTCTGGTGATAGGTCTAAACTTTAATGGACAATGTATGAAAGAAAAGCAGTGAGGATATTTTAAGTAAACAATAGCTCTGTCATTCTGAGTCTCTGGATCGAGGTGAGACACAGTAGCAATGCTGTTTTGCTTTCTCATGAGTCAGCTGACACTAAAGGCTAAGAAAGCCTTTGAGCTTGTACTGATGCTCTTATTTTCCTTTGTGACTAGAGAAAACTAACTTGCTTCCTTTTCTCATCTCAGAAGTAGTCTATTCTCAGCTTGCCTAACCATGGATTTAGAATTTATAATCTGAGAATCCATAACAAAGTGATAAAGTCTCTTGGGTTCAGGAGCAGAGGCAGTTGTCTTAATCTTCCACATATTTAGGGCTGCCTGAGACAGAATTTTAAACGACAGTATTGAATCAATTCAACTTAATTCAGGATAAGTCTGGGCGCGGTGGCTCACGCCTGTAATCCCAGCACTTTGGGAGGCTGAGGCAGGTGGATCACGAGGTCAAGAGATCGAGACCATCTGGTCAACATGGTGACACCCTGTCTCTACTAAAAATACAAAATATTAGCTGGGCATGGTGGCATGTGCCTATAATCCCAGCTACTCAGGAGGCTGAGGCAGAAGAATAGGCTGAACTACGGAGGTGGAGGTTGCGGTGAGCCGAGATTGTGCCATTGCACTCCAGCCTGGGTAACAAGAGCGAAACTCCGTCTCAAAAAGAAAAAAAACTTAATTCAGGATATAAATAGTAAACATGGCCAAGTGACTCATGCCTGTAATCTCAGCACTTTGGGAGGCTGAGGTGGGAGGACTGCTTGAGGCCAAGAGTTCAAGACCAACCTGTGCAACATAATGAGACCCCATTGCAAAACGAAACAAAAAAAATAGTAAATATATACCACAGGTTTAACACTGTAGACAGTATAAAATAATCCAATTATTACACATTTATGGGCATGAATCTTATCATATGGAGACAGAGGCTCAGTGAGCTTAAAGGGACTTACCTAAATGCTGGATGACTAATTGGTTTCAGAACATAGACCGTAATTGTTTGCATCTAATTCTACTTCCATGAGTTTCTTTATCACACTGCCTCAAATGTAGAAGATGTGGTCGCCGCCCTGAAGGACTTTTGCAATCTCCTAAATGGATAAGACATAGCCATATAACAATGATTGAATAATGAAAGTAAAATGAAGTGCAATAGATGTGTTACAGCTAGGGAGTAGTTGGGAAGGTCAAGGAGGTGAGAAGTCACAGGCTGGAGGATATGGAGAGTGATCGTAGGCTAGGAGAGATGAACGTTTTTATTAAGAGTAACTGTGAAAACAGTTCTGAAAGGTAAGTAGGCTTACAGATTTTTTCTTTGGTTCCCAAAGTGCATGTTGGCCTTGTCCACATTCACCAGTGTCTTTTCTTCTCTTTTATTTCTTTTTAGTTTAAGAAAAGAAACTATCTGTATCATACTGGCCAATAGGACACAAGCATCTAATTGCAGCAAATTCTTATACATTCCAAGTTACCCCCACAGAAACAGGTCACCATGGTAACCAAACAAAAAGAAACTAGAAAACAGAAGCAGAGTATTTACTTAATGTCTGATGGGCCCTCTGCATGATTTTCATTAGACCTGCTGCTGGCTTTCTTTCAGGTTTGGGTGCCAGTCACTGTTTACTTTGTAAGTTGTTAAAGATTAAAAACTTTATCATGCCTTATAATAGAGAAAATTGTACTGAGCAGTCAAGTCAGAGCTGTTGATTTTTAAACACATAACTCTTACTTAGATTTGTTAATTTATTACATAGAGTTAACCCAAGAGCTATGTAGCTCTTGTCAATGGAATTCAAGAGTACAGAAGGGTCATTTGATGATCGTTGAGTCTTTTAAGAATGCTACACGAGATAGTGGATTTGAAATAATTTTGTTAAGGGCCCTACTGTTTATTTTTGCCACAAAAAATAAAAAGGTATACACTAACCAGTTGGTGTAGAGAATTAATTGCTAAATAATTTATGTCAAAGTCCTTAATATACTATACTAATTAATACAATCCACTGTGCTCTAGCTAGTTTTAATCCTTTGGTGAAGAAGATTTTGACAATAAAACAGAAAGCCACGTAGGTTCATAAAATATGTCTGACATTTTCTGAACTGGGGAATAGGACCCACTTGTCATTCCTACTATTGTCTCAGTATCTCTTTGAAGTGCAAAAACATTGTGATTTCAAAAGCAGTCGAGGAAGATGCCATCTGCAGCTTCTGACAAGCTCTGGAGGTGTAGCCAAATATGGAGCATGTCACTAGGTGGTAGGTTTGCTAGGGATCTGACATGATTGACTTTTCTTTCTTAAAGACAATTAAAATTTATGTACAATAAATTGTTTCAACTGGCACTTGCTTTTAAAACTCAAACTCCATGTATGTCTTGCTAAAAAGTGATTCTGCAATGCAAATGTCATTTGTTGGAGAAGAAAAGAAAGCTGGATGCTTGTTTGGAAGCTTAGTAGGCAGGAGAGAAAAGTTGTTCCATAAAGGAACCGACCTTCTATGGAATGTTTCTGCTCTGTGATATAGCTCTACCCTTGTGCATATATGGAATTTGCTGTGTTGACCTAACATGCCTTCTATACATCTCTCTCGGCTAGTTCTCTTTATCTAGTAACTGAGTGTGGAATACTTGGAGCAAGATTTTCTTCCAGTGAAGGGATTTGCCTCCTAGGAGTGGAGTCCACACAATGCCAAACTAATTCTGCACTAGGGGCAAAAGGAAGACAGGTAAAAAATATAATATGATTTTTTTCATAAAAACAATATTTGTTTGTAATAACAATAATAATAACAAAGGACACAGGAGAACATTTACTATGTGTATTTGTAATAATGCCCCAAATATGATCTATGCTGTTTTTGAACTTTGGGATACATTTCTGCTTTCTAAATTAAGCTGTTTATGTGAAGGACAGTCATGCAGCCCTCACCAGTATCATCAACACTTTCCTCACGTTATAGCCATAGGGGAAGAACTGGAACCAATGTAATGATTGATTCTTATTTTTTTCTTTTTTTTGAGATGGAGTCTTGCTGTGTTGCCCAGGCTGGAGTGCTGTGGCATGATCTCGGCTTACTGCAACCTCTGCCTTTCAGGTACAAGCAATTCTCCTATCTTAGCCTTCTGAGTAGCTGAGATTACAGGTGCATGCTACCATGCTGGGCTAACTTTTGTATTTTTCTTTTAGTAGAGATGGGGTTTCACCACATTGGCCAGGCTGGTCTCGAACTCCTGACCTTGTGATCCGCCCACCTCAGCCTCTCAAAGTGCTGGGATTATGGGCGCAGGCCACGGCACAGGCCAATGATTGATTCGTATTTGGAATATTTCTGTCCCAGCCTCCCAATTCAGTCATTCTTTAGAAAGGAGGGGGTGGGTGTGAGTGAATTTGTGGAGTTAGGATCCAGTAAGAACAAGAGTTACTGAGTTTCAGCTTTAAAGTTAATGGAGGCAGATTTTGCTCCGAGGAGAATGTTGGTGGATGTATTCCCATCCTTGAGTTCCTGCACATAATAACTAGTCCATGCACAGAAAAGGCCAAGCTTTAAGGGCTTGAAAACAACACCGGAGGAATCTTGCAAAGAGTTCTTTACTGAAATTAGGGAAATTGGGAAAGTAACTGTCCTTTGTCTATCTTCAGGAAAAAACGTAGGCTGGTGGGAAAAAAAAGGGATATCTGCTAAATTCCTTCTGATTCTTCCTACAATAGCATTTAAGTGCTTGCTTTCTAACCCTTATCAAAGGATTGATATTGACTTTTCCTTGCTTAACTAAAATTCATTTATTGTTTAAATTCTGTCTAGTGAACAAAATGCTAGTACTTTTTCTGGGTGTGTCTCAACTAATAGTTTCAATTAGCTGAAAAATTTGTTTAGAATCTTCAGTATGTAGCATAAAGAAGATTTAGGAAATCGAATTACTTGTCTCTCCAATTCCCCTTATGAACCTCCCACTCAAAAGTCAGCAGACTTTATTTCACTTGATTGCACAAAAGACCTATCAGAACCACCTCAGCTGCTTTTTATTTTTTTATTTGTGAGTTTGAGTCAGCTGAGCCCTGTCAATAATTCTCCTGTTTCTGAAGGAAACTCTCTTTCTTTGGCTTCCTTTCTCCCATAGGGCCCCTTATCTCTGTGAGCCGGCCTTAGAGAAAGAAGAGACATTCGCAACATGGTCTAACTTCTCTGAAGTCAAGGATGCCTTCAAAATGAAAGTTTGGGCCACTGGGGGAGGGAGCGCAGGAAGGGAGACCACAGGGAGGAGGAAAAGAATTGTAAACAAAGGGACAGCTGGGGATTGGCCCATTCTTTCTGAGCATTTGTGGAGCTTCTTTAGAGCCAGTGAAGAAAGTAAAATCCAGAGGCAACTTTTAAAAAATGCCATTTAATGTCTGACTTCTTAAGCCTACCTGCATAAAAATAAAGATAAAAGAAATAATGCAAGCTAGGTGCCTAGGTTCTAACCCAATTCAGTTTTCACTTATGTTTATTTTGTAAAAAGGTACCGTTACATTCTCTATTTGGCAGTGCTGGGTGTTCAGGACATGGTACTCCAAAATACTGCACCTTGGCATTTGAAAAAGCAGTAGAAGCAAGCAGGTCATTCTCACCCTGCCCATGTTCTTCCCCTGATGCAGGTAAGATGAGCTAGAAGGGTTTTCTGATTTTCCTCTGAAGCAGGTCATAAAACACAGATTTGAGAGGTGCCCTTCCTCTACGAGGAGGAAAGGAACATCCTTACCTCTGAAGACACAGGGACACAGAATAATCTAAACAAACAGTCCTTGCTAAATACTCCCCACCCCTATTTATTACATTAGATCATACTTTTTATCCAATCATACATCTTCATGACTCTCTACTTCTTCGTCAAACTTAAAAACTATAAAGGTTTACCACTTTCTTCTGGTCTTCCTTTCCTTATGAAGGCTCTCTTGTTATGTTAAACTTATATTAAGTAAATTCTTTGTATGCTTTTCTCTTGTTAATTCTTCTGTTAAAGGGGACTCAGTTATGATCCTAGAATGAGTGAGGAAAAGATATTTCTCTTTCTCTATAGAAATATGTCAGAGTAACTCAAATGGGTAAGCCAGGACATCCTTTAGTTATAGTTTCCTGGACCAAGACCTATATACCCTTAGATGCTACCCGACTTAAATGATCTATGCTATTTTTGTACTTTAGAATATATACTAATCCTTCTGGCTTCTAAATTGAGCTGTTTTTGTGAAGGATGGTCATGCAGCCTTCAGGTCTCCATAAGAAGCCATAGATTTTGAAAATTTAAGTTTAGGCCAGCACTGTGGCTCAGGCCTGTAGTCCCAGCACTTTGGTAGGTTGTGGCAGGTGGAGCTCTTGAGCTCAGGAGTTCTAGACCACCCTGGGCAACATGGCGAAACCCTGTCTTTACAAAAAACTACAGAAATTAGCCAGGTGGGAGGCACCTGTAGTCCCAGCTACTCAGGAGGCTGACTGAGGCAGGAGAATCTTTTGAGTCTGGGAGGTGGACGTTGCAGTGAGCTGAGACTGCGCCACTGTACTCCAGGCTGGCAACAAGCTAAACCCTCTCTCAAAATAAATAAATAAATGAAATAAAATTTAAGTTTATAAATCTTAAATAGCTTTGGGCAAAGAATGATTAATAAAGAAGGAAATTATGGAGAGAGAAGAAGGAATTTTTTACCCTGGTTGTATAATTTGGATTTTCTTTCCACATAAATATCTGCTTCCACTAGCCAGGTGGAAGCATCTAGATCTGTGACTACATTGAGGTGCTAGGAAGGTGGTGCACCCAAAGAGCATGACTTGCCCTCAGCATCTCTTCATCTAGCTGTTCCTGAGTTGTTTCCATCATAATAAACTGGTAGGAGTAAGGACAAAATAAAAATTAGCCGATTGTTTCTCTTCCTAACATGTCATGCAAATATTTAATTTTCTTAGCAAATTAAGGGCAAGAGTCTATTTCTCTCTTTCTTTCTTAAAAAAATAAAAAAGAACTGTCAGTTAAACTTGCTAATTTGTGATTAGCTTTTTAAATGTGGCTTTTTAAAGTATTAAAGCTTTAACCTGTATCTAATTAAATATTAAAATCTGGCAAAGAGTAGACCTACAGGTCTGTTGGGAACCAACATCTGTGCTTGCTAACCATTAGGTTATACCATTAGGTCTTGGTAGATGCATGATCAATAATAGCTAGAGTGAGCTGTAGGCCATAAAATGTTTCTGAGCAGTTTAGTATATATTTCTTTTTTCTTTTTTTTTTATGAAAGAAAGAAAGAGAAAGAGAAAAGGGGGCGAGAGAACAGGAGTCTTGCTCTATTGCCCAGGCTGGAATGCAATCTAAAAATAGGTATTAGAAACCTCTTTTATGCCGATAATTGTGCTTAACAGTGGAGACAGGAAGGAATAAGGAAAGAAAATAACAAACAAACAGCCAACCAATATTTCATTTAAGTCTGTGAAATGCTATGCAAATGCTGAAGAGTGATTTACTTCCAATTATGTGGTCATTTTCAAAATAGGTGTAATGTGATACTGAGAAAAATGTTTGTTCTGTGGACCTGGGGTGAAGAATTCTATAAATATTCACTGAGTTTACTTGTTCCAGGTCTGAGTTCAAATCATCTATGTCCCTGTTAATTTTCTATCTTGTTGATCCGTCAAATATTAACAATGTGGTGTTAAAGTCTCCCGCTATTATTGTGCAGGAGTCCAAGTCTCTTTATAAGTCATTAAGAACTTGTCTTATGTATCCGGGTGCTCCTGTATTGGGTGCATATATATTTATGATCATTGACTCCTGTTGTTGCATTGATCCTTTACCATTATGTAATGTCCCTCTTTGTTTCCTTCTTTTCTTTTTTTTTTTTTTTTTGAGATGGAGTTTCGCTCTTGTTACCCAGGCTGGAGTGCAATGGCGCAATCTCGGCTCACTGCAACCTCTGCCTCCTGGATTCAGGCAATTCTCCTGCCTCAGCCTCCTGAGTAGCTGGGATTACAGGCACGCGTCACTATGCCCAGCTAATTTTTTGTATTTTTAGTAGAGACGGAGTTTCACCATGTTGACCAGGATGGTCTCGATCTCTTGACCTCGTGATCCACCCGCCTTGGCCTCCCAAGGGCTGGGATTACAGGCGTGAGCCACCACGCCCGGCCCTCCCTCTTTGTTTCTTTTTGTCTTTGTTACTATTAAAGTCTGTTTTGTCAGAGACGAAAGTTACAACTCCTGTTGTGGTTTTTTTTTTTTTTTTGCTCTCCATTTGATTGGTAAGTCTTCCACCAACCCTTTGTTTTGAGTCTTTGTGTGTCCTTGCTTATGAGATGGATCGGGATACAGCGTACTGATGGGTTTTGACTTTTTATTCAATTTGCCTGTCTGTGTCTTTGATTGGGGCATTTAATCTATTTAAATTTAGGGGATTAATATGGATATTTGTGAGTTTAATATTGTCGTTTAATGCTAGCTGGCTATTTTGCCCATTAGTTGATATAGATTCTTCATTATGGAGATACTCTTTACCTTTCAGTAAGTTTTTGGGATGACTGATACTGGTTGTTCCTTTCTGTGTATACTGCTTCTTTCAGAAGCTCTTGTAAAGCAGGCCTGGTGGTGATGAAATCTCTGAGTGCTTGCTTGTTCGTGAAAAATTTTATTTTTTCTTCATTTCTGAAGCTTAATTTGGCTGGATATGAGATTCTGGGTTGAAAATTCTTTTCTTTGAGGACATTGAATATTGACCTCCACTCTCTTCTAGTTTGTAGGGTTTCAGCTGAGAGATCTGCTGTGAGTCTGATAGACTTCCCTTTATGGGTAACCTGACCTTTCTCTCTAGCTGCCCTTAAAATTTTCTCCTTTATTTCAACCCTGGTGAAAAATTCCATTTCTGAGTAAGGAAAGATTAATTAACTTTGCTATTTTAAAAATAACTTTTTCTAGGTGTAAAATTAATCTATTTTCATTATGAAAAATTATGGGGAAATGAATTTGACATTAATAAGAAAATCACAAATAATTTGCAAGACCTTCTTTACTTGTTTTGTAATTAATCTAGTTTGTGGAAAATAGTAGGAAAGACTAGAATTAGAAGGCAAGGAATAGGGGAGAAACCTTCTTTTATATGCCTGCAAAAGAGAAAGCAAAAATGATTCTTTTTTTTTTAGGTCTTGAAACAGAAATATGTTATTTCACTTGATTCTATGATTGACTGAACTCAGCTGGGAACTTCTGCTCCACATGGTGTCTGAGCGTCCTTGTTCAATCAGCTGAGGCCAAAATATTCAAGAAAACCTCTCACCTACCCCTGAATCCTCCAGCTGGTTATTCTTTGGTGGGAGTATAACTCAAGCCTCTTTAAAGCATGGCACTGGCTTTCTTTCTTTCTTTCTTTCTTTTTTTTTTTAAGTTCTGGGGTACATGTAAAGAACATACAGGACTGTTGCATAGGTACATACATGGCAATGTGGTTTGCTGCCTCCATCCCCATCACCTATATCTGGCCTTTCTCCCCATGTTATCCCTCCCCAACTCCCTACCCCCCACTGTCCCTCCCTTAGTGTCCCCCAACAAACCCCAGTGTGTGATGCTCCCGTCCATGTCCATGTGTTCTCATTCTTCAACACTTACCTATGAATGAGAACATGTGGTGCTTGATTCTCTGTTCCTGTGTCAGTTTGCTGAGAATGATGGTTTCCAGGTTCATCCATGTCCCTACAAAGGACATGAACTCATTGTTTTTTATGGCTGCATAGTATTCCATGGTGTATATGTGCCACATTTTCCCTATCTAGTCTATCATTGATGGGCATTTGGGTTGGTTCCAGGTCTTTGCTATAGTAAACAGTGCTGCAGTGAACATATGTGTGCATGTGTCCTTATAATAGAACGATTTATAATCCTTTGTATATATACCCAGTAATGGGATTGCTAAGTTAAATGGAATTTCTATTTCTAGGTCCTTGAGGAATTGCCATACTGTCTTCCACAATGGTTGAACTAATTTACACTCCCACCAACAGTGTAAAAGTGTTCCCATTTCTCCACATCCTCTCTAGCATCTGTTGTCTCCAGATTTTTTAATGATTGCCATTCTAATTGGCGTGAGGTGGTATCTCAATGTAGTTTTGATTAGCATTTCTCTAATGACCAGTGACAATGAGCATTTTTTCATATGTCTGTTGGCCTCATATATGTCTTCTTTTGAAAAGTGTCTGTTCATATCCTTTGCTCACTTTTGCATGGGTTTTTTTTTTTCTTGTAAATCTGTTTTAGTTCTTTGTAGATTTTGTATATAAGTCCTTTGTCAGATGGGTAGATTGCAATTTTTTTTCCCCATTCTGTTGGTTGCCGGTTCACCCTAATGATTGTTTCTTTTGTTGTACAGAAGCTCTGGAGTTTAATTAGATCCCATTTGTCTATTTTGGCTTTTGTTGCCCATGCTTTTGGTGTTTTAGTCATAAAGTCCTTGCCTATGCCTATGTCCTGAATAGTTTTGCATAGGTTTTCTTCTAAGGTTTTTATGGTGTTAGGTCTTATGTTTAAGTCTTTAATCCATCTGGAGTTAATTTTAGTGTAAGCTGTGAGGAAGGGGTCCAGTTTCTGCTTTCTGCACACGGCTAGCCAGTTTTCCCAAGACCATTT